GTTTTCGCTAAATCCGGTATAGGTAGTTGAATGCTGAAATTGACTGATTCTTTATAGTTAACAGGGGATATCATAGATCGTAGATCCACATTCATCTCTCTTACGCAGTTTGTCACCAGAAGCCTTTCGTCTTTTTTTAGCTCATCGATTTATTTCAGCTGACATCTAGTTGGGTGCTTTCAGCCCCTTGGGTAGCAGTACGCATTTTCTGAAGTTCATTGGTCATCCATCATTCGTGCGATGTACTTCATCGATATCCGTTTCGAGCAACATGCAGGAGACTCAGCGGGGAGGGGAAAGGCATCTTTGTGCTTTCCATTTCATTTGATCTAAGAAAATGGTTTTGCCTGCAGCCCATTCTTGCCAGTCCTGCATAACTTCGACTTGCCCTTTACTTCGGTTCACTCAGGTTCCAGATGATAACTCTCCCAGGCTTGGCCTGCTCGAAACTTCCTCGATGTACTTTGGCACAGCAACGTTTTCTCACTCGATTTTCCTGACTACGAAGGGGCATCTGATCTTACGGAGGCTGTTACAATTAAACGGATAAGATTTATTGCAGCTGGTTAGCCGTTTGCTGACAACAGTCTGCAAGTTTTCGGTTGTTTCTGCTCACCTTCAGCCACGAAAGACTGGATTCTTTCAGATTTTCCTGTATTTCATCGAGAATACACAAGAAATGCAAAATCTGATCTTTCATATTAATGCGATGTATCGCTCATAGTTCAAATAAATTTTTTCTGCTGACGGCATATTATTTCGAAAGTTTAGTTTAAGATTCGACTTAGTAAAGTGACAGGCGCCCAGAAAGTAGGTAACAGGCGGTTCTCTGATGCCATAGTCCTAGTTATCCAAAGTAGTAGAAAAGTACATTTGGTGTCCAGCATTTCAGACAGCCTTGACCTATTCATTATTAGGATTACAGTGAAAATAGGCAAAGAAACAGCGGTGTGTATTGCCTTGTGCATTATTATATATTGTTTCCATTATCGATAATTTTGAAATACAGCATAGTAATGATAATTCTAGCACAGTTTCTTTTTTGATGGGCCTTCTTCAAGATAATGGGTACTCATTTATTGCTGAGAAATTTATCGACCTAAAACGGTAATGATTCTACAGTTTGCTTCAACATCTATTGAAAATAACGAAGGAAAGAGCTCTGATAGCAAAAAATTTGCACCAACTTTAATTTAATTTGCACAAGCAAATATTTGAAATTGGATGTTTTTCGGGTTACCACAAAGAAAAGTGGTTTAAAAAAAGAAGGTTTGGCTTGTAAATTGCAAGACAAGTGCGAAGGTGCAGCGGATACACTAAATCCTTTTAGAAGCAGGTAGAATTATCGCATATTCCTAATGGAACTGGTTTCGGTCTTGTTTGGCATGGTTATCAGTGATCGTTTATTAGCGCAGTGCAGTTTCAAGTTCTCACCTTCAGATGGCTGCTTCGAAAGTTGAACTTTGCGATTACCTTTAAGAAACACCTCCAAAGTGACTTTCGGATCGAAGAGCCAAATTTTAACGCAGCTGAGATTGCTATGTCGTAGTTCTTTCCATTGTTTTGCTTATTATTATTCTTTGCCTCATTGGAGGGTGTGGCGCAGGGGTGGAAACAGTGTTAAAAAGGTTGCTTACATTTTACAGATGCCATATTCGTATCCTAGAGTATCGTAAATTTTCTATTATTGACTTAAAGCCATTGTGTTTTTGTCTAGCCAGTTGACAGTACGGTGCTCTGGAGTTTCAGCCAAAGCGTGCGAAACATCTAGTACGTGGTAGAAGTGTAAAATATACATGCAGTTTAATTTCAAAAATTAGTTTAGCCCTGTTAAATTGTTTTGACGACACTGCTTTTCGGACTATGACTTTTAGCGTACTTCCGTTTGCGTTTTTTGTCTAACGTTGTTGTTACTTTGCCTTTAAATATTCAGTTATGGTGTATTTTTCACCCGTGTTAGAGAATATTGAGTTTTTTTGCGATTGTGATGAAACGGCAAATTGTATGCATAAATAAAATGAAAAATAATATCTCTAAATCGATTCTTAGGGCTAAAAGCTATCTGAATGTTCAAATAGTCTTTTTGCTATTGCAGGTAATTGATCGCTTAATAGGAATGCCGTAAGAACATTTCCATACCATTACTAAATAGCCGAATAATTTAAAACACAATGATACAGAGACGATTTGCAGCAAAAACACTTTACACTCTTTGGAGGTATGGAAGAGATGTAAGGTATTTTTGAAGTCCGTTTAAGTTTAAGGGTATTGCGTCGAAGGTGAAGAAGGTATGTTTATACATGCGAAGATGATGACAGTCGCGTAGCCGATTTCGTTTCGCTGGCACCTGTGTTCTTCGAAGCACCGTTAGTGAACGATATTGGTGTTCTACGTTGCTGCTTGACATTTTCTGCCAATGCAGCTGGCCTACTGTATAAACCATGAAATT